CTTCCCCCTTCTTAGTTTCCAATGTCCTTTATACTACATATGACTATATGACCATGTATACCCACAGTTTAGCACCCACTTATTAGAGCATGTGGTGGTTATTTTTCTTTCATGGTATGCTTTGTTTAGAATAATGTTCTTCTGTTCCATTCAAGTTGCTATAAAAGGCATGATTTCATTTTTTGTAGCTAAATAGTACTCTATAGTATGTGTGTATGTATATGTATTTATATATATATATGTATATTTATATGTGTATGTATATTTACATATACATAAATACATAGACATACCAAAGTTTTCTTTATCCACTCACTAACCCACAGACAAATAATAATGAATGAGGAAAATTTGAAATCATTTCCCCTAAGAACTAGGACAAGACAAGGGTGCCCACTGTCACCACTTCTATTTAATATAAGCAGTGGATGTCTTACCCAGAATAACCAAGCAAAAGAAATAAAGAAAGGGCAAATTAGGAAAGAGGAGGTCAACCTATCCCTATTTGCTAATCATATGAACTTTCATCTAGAAAACTCTAAAGACTCTCCGCAAAGACTCCTGGGATTGATAAATAAATTCAGCAAAGTCTCAGCTTAAAAAACCAATGTACACAAATCAGTACCATTTCTATATACTAGTAACAGTCAAGCTGAGAGTCAAAAAAAAGGAATCAATACCATCACAATAGTTACTAAGAAAATAAAATACCCAGGAATATGCCTAACCAAAGAGGTAAAGGATTTCCACAAGAACTACAGACATTGATGAAAGAAATCATAGATGACATGAACAAATGGAAAAACTTCCCATTCTCATGAATTGGAAGAATCAACATTGTTTAAATGTCTATCTTACCCAAAGTGATATACAAATTCAATGCAATTCTCATCGAAATATCAGTATCATAATTTTTCACAGAATTGGATAAATTAGTCCCAAACTTCATATAGAACCACAAAATAACATAAATGGCCAAATAATCATACACAAAATAAAAAATCTGGAGGTATCACACCAACTAATTTCCATTATACTACAAGGCCATAGTAACCAAATGGCATGGTGATGGTATAAAGATTTTTTTTTTTATATCTTAAAAACAGGTTTAGCTTTTGTAGTAATAAAGACATTTTCTAAGATAAATTTGAAAAAAAATAAAAAGAGAAAAAGATATGATAAAAAGAATAATGTAGTAAATTTGAGCACATTGCACTGGATATTTCTAAAGGGGAAGAGTGATTAGTGACTCTTGCCCTCCATATTGTGTGAGCCCCACAGAGGGGCTGTAACTAAGGGGGAAAATATAAACAGGTTGAAATATACTGTAGCTAAAGGGGAAATATAAACAGGCTGAAAATGGGAGTTTTCAATGTCTGCTTGGATTCATTTAGCAATTTTCTCACAACAGATACACGTATGGGAAGCCTGTCCCTGGACATGGGACTCTGAGAGTCTGCAGAAAGTATAGCAACCCTTCCGATTGCTTTGGTGAAGACTCACAGGCTTTCTGTGAGAAATTTAGTCAAAAGGTAGGTTGAATATTCTTCCTTCTAGGAAATAATACTAAAAGCATTGTTGACAAGCAGTGAGTGGCAACATGATGCTAACTCAGGAAGAGAGCAGTCTGGATGAGAATTCCATGCCAGCTATGGTATAACTATTTAAATTGCATACAAACTTTATGGCCACCCTATAATTTTTTTTTAAATCATTAACTTAGCAAAATAGAAATTATTTTTTATAATTGCTCATTATGAATGTTCCAGAACTGTAGAAGTTGAGCTGTCCAAAGCCTCCTTAAGTGTCAACTTCTCTATAAAGGAAGGAGAAAGACTTACACCTCTTAATTGTCTTGGCTGGTTAGAATGTCAGCTCTGTTCTCTTTCTAGGAGCAAGAACCTATTACATGGTTCAACCTAGATTTCAGGGAGTGGGGAACCCAGTCCCCAGGTGGATGGCTACTCCCCATCCACAGCGTATACCACAAGAGGGGAACCAGACTTTGTTGAGGATTTAGTTCTAATAGTCGATAGCAGAGCAGAGTGACTATAATTAATAATATATGACTTGAAATGTTCCCAACACATAGAAATAATACTCAAGGCACGGATACCCTAAATACTCTGACTTTATCATTACACATTCTGTGCTTATAACAAAATATCATATGTGCCCCATGATTATGTACAAATACTATGGATCAATTTTTTAAAAGATTATTCAAAAATTTTTAAGTTATTTCTATCTCTATCTAGAGAATTTCAGATACTAAGAAATACATCTGTCAATTACATGTGAGATATTATTGTGAACTGTAACACTGTTTAGCCACTAGAGAAAATGTATTGTATCCTCATAGAAAATGCCTAGATTTATGTTGGCCCAAAAAGAATCCCACCAGATCAACTGACCACTGATCTGTCCAGAATAATATGCACCATATTTTTGTATTTGATTTTCTCCCCTCTTAGCTAAACAGCCATGGCTGCTTCTCTCAGCGAGTAAACACCAAGGTCTTTCAGCTGAAGAGGTATGGGTATGAAATGAAACTTCATGTGGAGGCCAAGATCAAAGAAGAAGGAACAGGTTTGTATACCATGTGGGTACAGGAAAAAAACAAGGGGCATGGATTTAATTTTTTAGCCAACTTATGAACTGCAAGGGGGGGGGGTGGTAGTATAAGAAGTTCAGTAACATCACCCTTCCAAAAAAGAATTTATTTTTTTCTTCTTTTTCAGTCGTGGAATTAACTGGGGAAGGATCCACCAAAATCACAACAACCATAACCAAACTCTCATTTGTGAAAGTGGACCCATACTTTAGACAAGGGATCCCCTTCTT